CCCCTTTCTGTCTTCCGTCCCGACGAACGGTGCCCGAAAGAGCGCTGGCCGGGTCGGCCCGGCCCGGAACTCCGCTCCGCTCGTCCCCTCTCCCTACCTCTCCCCTGCCGACCGCAAGTGCCGACGGTGCCCGCATGAGCGCCGCCCGTCGCGTCGGCTTCGCTCGTTCGCCGCCTGTCAGCGTCAGTCGTCAGCCAGTCAGTACGCTCGCCGCGCCGTGTCCGTGCCTGCGCGCTGCCGAGCCGTGCCCTGCCTGCTCCGTCTGTCCGTCCGTCGCGTCGAGCTCACTCGCTCGCTCGCCAGTCATTACCGCACGCCGTGTCCGTGTCTACGTCTACGCGTTACCAAGTCGTGCCCTGCCTTGAGTTTGAGTGTTTGTTTCTTGCGTTTTGGCCTGGTTTAGGCCGGCCGGTGCCAGTGCAGTGATGAACCCGAACTCCTTTTGAAGGCAAGTTTCTGACCAAAGTGCGACAGGTGCCTAACTAGTTCTGTGTCTAGTTTGTCGTCACTTTGCTCGGCGTCTCATGGTTTGTATCCCAATCCTCGTCCCGTGTCGGTTGATCTGGGTGCGACCGACGAACTGGCCCGGGCCGACCGACTCGGGACGAGGATTCGGACGCAGCCGTGCGTGGGACACAAGCTGATAGGAGTTGCCTGGAAGCAGACGACCGGGGAAGAAGTACAATAATATCGGAAAAAGAATGTGAAATTGTGGCTTTGACCAATCCAGAATGAGCGCTGCTAGTGCCTGATAGGTTATCCGCTCAATTTCTCGTAAGTTTCCGGTCCTCTTGTTCTTCTTCCCTAATGATCTGCTTCCGGAACCAGTGCCTTTAACTGCTCTATATCTACGAAAACACTTGCAAATCTGCTGTGATTTATTTTTAGAAACACTCTGAATTACGAATCTACCTCCCAAACCCGTTTAAAAGTTAAAATAGCGTGATTTTTACAACTGGTTCCGGTCTGTATCTCTTTTTTCTTCCCAAAATAGGTGTAGCCCCCCCCCCCTTTTTTAGCCCGCCCTTCTGCTTTGAAAAAGCTATCTAGCGGGCTTATGCAAACGACCTCGTGTCTGTCTGTGTGTCTGTCTGTCTGTCTGTTCCACTAGAAGGAGATGTG